CGTAAATGTGGCCGCAATTATGTTATCCGGTATTAAATTCCTTAAAATTATCATAGACAATTAATATTTCAATTACTCTTACTAACAATACAAACATAAACACATCATAAATGCTTTCGTCTTGACTTGAGATCATTTGTTTGATATCAAACTCGTGGGACTGTTGACCATCGCTGGGGCTGTCCTTATTGGCCACAATCTCAGACATGTTTCTGACCCCGGGTTTTATAATTGAGACCATAATTGCACCAAATGTTGAACAACACGACGAAAATACCACAATCAAAACAAATGTCCATATAATTAAACGAGTATTTTCACCACGTTTTGTGCCAGTAATGCCTTTTAAAACATCCCAATTTGGATTAAATAATTAATACATTATACTTTATAGTAGTTTACTTACTAGTGGCCAGTGATGCTAGAATGAGGGGCACAATGATCATCATAAACGCTCTGATAATTAAAGTGCCCGGAAGTGCGATATATGTCAACACAACTGGACTTATTGTGAATACGGACTTCAATATAAACCCAAAACAAAGTCCCAAAACGGCGCTCGCAATAATCAATAACGACGGGCCGTTGGCTTTGCACCAATTCTGATATTAAGTACAACATGGTGAGTTATAATTTATAATTGTCCAATGATAACTTACCTTAAATTTTTCAAATACCATATTTTTAAATTTAAATAATTGTGATAAATATTTATATTAGTTATTTAACAAATATTTATATGATGTAAACATGAGACATGAATGTCTGTGATTTAATCTGCTTTATGTCATTTTAAAAATAACTGATATGTTTACCACAATCAGTTTAATGTATATTTTGTCACATCCTAATCATATTCTGAATTACCACATGGTAATTATCCTTGAGTTAAGGCTAACAATTTATAAGGCAAATTGATTTTATAGTCATATTTTACATAAGTTACAGTGTGTATTAAATTTATTTTAACAATCATTGTAATAATATTTCCAGAAAATTAAAATGATATTTCCACTATAATTTAATTAAATAAATTTGTAGATTCAGTAATAATAAAATATTTAGGTTACTAAATAATAGAATACACAAAAAAAATATTTATTATAATAAATTTGGGTGCAATTAATCTTGTTAAATAAATTTTTATCTTATGATTTAATCAAAAAGTACTATCTTAAAAATTGTATAACATAACATTAAGATTTATACATACAATGACACAAATGAGTGAAGTTGTCACAATACTAGATGTGCTATAATTAAAACTATTAAATATATTCAAAAGTTATACCAACGTTAATTAATATTAATATTTAATTCAGAAATGAGTTTAGAAAGGTTTAAGGTAAAATATAAAATACCTAATAACATTAAATAACTTAATGATTATGTCTTATATTTTAATTATTAGGCATGGTGCAAAGAAAATCTCTATTCGATCTTAATCATTGTGACCGCTATTTTAGGAATTATATTTGGATTTATATTAAAATCACTATTTGTTATAAATCCTGTTTTATTGATATATATCGGACTTCCGGGTAAACTAATTATAAGGGCATTTATGATGATCATTGTGCCACTAATTGTAACTTCATTAGCTACAAGTATGATAAACATAATAATGCAAATTTAACAACTGTTAAACAAATGACATATTACTTAACTACAAAGGTATAACGGCTACAAAACGTGGTGAAAATAAGCGCTTAATTGTATTAACGTTTGCATTTGTAATACTATTTTCATCATGCGCTGCGATATTTGGCACAATATTAATGTGTGTTATTAAGCCTGGAGTGCGGGACTTGTCGGATGGCGAACTCCCATATAGTGAACACCAATCGGTCGGTGATTATGATATTAAGCAAATGATCTCGAGTCAAGACGAGAGTATTTACGACCTGTTTATGTAAATGAATTAATAATTATTTTGTATAATTATATTTACATTATATATTTTTATTAGGAATCTAATACCGGATAACATAATAGCGGCTACATTTACAACTCACTACACAGCACTGGTAGCCCTCGACCCCCACAACCTAACCCTAGGCTACAAGAAAGTGTCCGAACGGGCCTTTAAACCAAATATGTTGGGTTTGTGTGTATTCTCACTAATACTGGGTTTTGCTGTTTTGCAATTGGATTCAAAGGCAGAGACTATTTGCCAGTTATTACACGAAACTAATGCTATTATTATGAATTTAATAATGGGTTTAATTAAGTAATTTTAATTATAGTATTTTCACATGTATTACTTTTAAACATAATTAATTTTTTAGAATTATGCCAATCGGAATGTTTTGTTGGATGTGTGTAGAAGCGATTAAAATGAAATCACCAGAAAAAGTTCTAGTTCAATTGGGTTGGTTTTTTGGTACAGCTATTATTGGGCACTTGACTATCTGGTTTATTTTATACCCGGTCATATATGTGTCAATTGTACGTAAGAATCCGTATACATTTTTATTTAATATCATTCCAGCAGTTATTGTAGCATTTGGCTCTAGTTCCAGGTATGCACATAATTTTTAATAAATACAATTTTAGTTATACTGGTCATTTTATTAGTGCCATGACTTTACCAGTTACAATACAGTGTATGGAGGGTAAAAATAAATTATCCAAGCTAGTTTCGCAATTTGTACTGCCATTGGGAATGACACTCAACATGAATGGAAGCGCAATGTATTACCCGATGGCCACTCTATTTGTCGTTCAAATGCATGGTTTGCCAATTACTTTTCAAATGCTGGTAACATTATGGTAAGTTTACAAATACGTTTTAATTAAAAACAACATTGTTGCTATTCTAATCTAATTAATATTTTAAGAAAAATTGTTAATTATTATTTTATTTTAGCATATTTTCACTTATTATGACCATGTCACTGCCGGGAGCCCCGACTGGTGGGTCATCAATTGTAACATTTTTAGCCTATTGTGCTATCATTGGTGTAAATAATCCTTTGGATATACTCGCATACATTATGACAATGGATTGGCTAATGTATATAATGTCAATTTATTATAATTATATGCCATTAAAAAATAATTCATTTTAAAGTTTTTTAAATTAAATTATTTGCATATTTATTTTGTTTAGGGAGAGGTTACGTACTATGACTAATATTATGGGAGATTGTTTCCTTGCGGCTATTATACAAAAGTTATGTGACATAAAAACCGATAATAACCATGATGAAAAAACTTGCGAATTAAATGCGTTATAATTATTTAAATGTTAGCATAATTTGGCATTATAAATATTATACATATAAACATTTTACAATAAAGTTAAGAATTTATTTTACATAGAATTTATATTTAATCAACGGCAACAAGAATAATTGTAATGTAATTAATAATTTTTTAAATAAAAATTTTCAATTGAATTAACAAATTTATCTTAAAAAGCATTATTTCACTAGAATAACATTATTTCTATAGACTTAGCATTACTCATAGGATTAACATTGAAATAGACTTACCCATGTAGGCATTACCCATGTTACATCTATGGCCCGCGTTTGCCAATACGTTCAAAACTATTATTGGCGGACACAGGATAGCGCTAATATTTATTACCCTCACAAACCGTTAAGATTCAATTTTTATATTACATAATCTAAATTACATTTGAAACCATAAGTTTTATTAAATCATTACATCAAATTATAATTATAATTAAATTTTTATCAATTATATCACGCCATATGTGATTTTATACATGCAAAACAAAAATGTCATTATTTCATCATTATTGTTATTTGGCGTTTATTATAATCGCTATTTGTTACCAATTAAAGGTGGCCCAGGCAGAGGCACATCCGGATCCGTATTGCTCTGCACCCGGTAAAAATCAAAAGAAAGCTACCAAAAGTAAGACATACAACTATATACTTTACATTTAACTATAATGTTGGAACTTTTTATTTGACCAGGTACAAACAAAAATGTAAATCAACGTCAGAAACATCAGCCACACAACGCCCTAAACATTAATCCAACTCAGCCTATTCAATCGCCCGCATCACCTATGACTCCGGGTCCCGAAACTTTTGTAAATATTGAATAAATGTTAAAATGCTAACAAATATTTCTGTATTGATTTTTGAATTAAATTTATTAAAAAATTTATACAATTAAAAAAAATTATTTTTGCGAAAATTTGAGTGTTTTTACAAAATATTTACAATTTAGTAATTATTTATAAAATCATTTAATTTCTAGCATTAGTCTAAAATTTGGGCATATATTTTGCTAAAATATTTATTCCTGTATTTTCGATGTACAGAAATTACACATTCGTGTAATCTGCAAATATTCCCTAATTGATGTTTCTTCTAGGAATTCATGTAATTTACGCAACGCTACTAATGACCAGTGATTTCATTAGAACCCAGTTGTACGTTTCACATACACTGTACACATATATTTTATAAAAATGTATACATAGGGGCAGACTGTCCCCCGAATATGTGTGTACAGTATAAATACACAGTGTATATGTGTACAGTGTATGTAAAACGTACAACTGGGTTCTAATGAAATCACTGCTAATGACTATAACTGTGTAACTAACAATTAATCAAGACTATTTATGTACTTGATATATTTATCAAAATACAAATAAAAAATTTCACTACAATTAATTTTTATTTAATTAATATTTGATTATAAAAATTAAGTTGAGAGAGAGAGAGAGAGAGAGACAGAGAGAGAGAGAGAGAGAGAGAGAGAGAGAGA